GAAGGAAGGAAGGAAGGAAGGAAGGAAGGAAGGAAGGAAGGAAGGAAAGAAGGAAGGAAGGGCTGACAAACCCTCCATTCTTCCTCTGTCCCACTTACAGGTACCAGGCTGGAAAATGTCAGCATCCAGGGCCTGATCTGCTGCTCTCCTGTGCCTTTCATTTCAGACCGTTGGGCTAGCAGGAACGTTAGAACTCATCTAGCTCAAGGGAGCTGTGGTCCTGAGAGGTGAATTGACCTACCCAAGGTCACACAACTCATTCTGGGTAGAAGCAGGTTAGACCACAGGTCTCCCATCTCCCTGCCGGGTACTCCCCTTATTCCACTCTGACCTTTGTCCCAATTTCCTTTCAAATGAGTCTCATCAAGTCCTAAATATCCTGAGAGAGGTATTGGGTAGGTAGGTTCCCTCAGGGGGTTAGCAGAAAGAATAGAGGGATCAGCAGTCTGCGTTTACTTTTCCTCCCCGGGGTGTCTACAGACTGCCGCTGGGCCTGTTGAGCATCAGCCATTGGCTTCTGCATCAGGGAGCAGGGGCAGAAGCAGCTGATCTCCCTTAATGGAAATGTTGGGGTGCCAGACAAGGCGAAGCTTCCACGAGTAGGGAAAGAGGGGAGCAATAGGACTGTCCCCGAGAGCCTGATCTAGGTCCCTCCACAAGGAAGTCCGCCTTGATTTCTCCTGCGTTTGCACTGAGGTCTCTGTTTGCCAGCCCCGGAGCGGAACTGGGGATGTGCGTCTCCTGTATGCCCCCATCTAGAAAGTTCCTGGGATAGGCCATTTGTTGGGAGGCTCGAGTTATTATTTCATGGCTGCATGTGTCCCAGCTGCTGCCTGGGCCTTGTATGTAAAGTGAGGGGATCTGTGCTCAAAGGACAGTGCTCAGGAGCATCGGACCCGCTGACTCCCCCACAAAGTGGACAAGCAGGGCTCTTGGGGGTGGGGCTGGGGGACTTTGCTGCTGCCTCTGACATGTAACCCCCCCCCCGCCCCCGCCCAGGGAAAACAGTGGAGGCCGCAGGGTATGCCCCTCACAGCCGGTGTTTGCTGGCGCACACAGGGTTGATGAAGGAGCCTGGCCACTGCTGTTTCCCATGGCAACAGCTCAGCCCCGCGTGAAAGCAGCTAAGTGTGGGCTCTGGCTGGCGACGCACACTCACAGGCTGCGTGGCACTCGGCTTGGACCGGGGCGCCTCATCACCAGCCCCATTTCCTGCCTTGCTCCCTCCCACCCAGCCCCCCCCAAATTGCTTTAACCCATGGAAGCGAGATGGGGCCTCCTCCGTGATACTGTCCCGTGCACTCCAGCTGTGGTTCTCCCACCCAGGCTGTGGTGCAGACTGTAGTTTAGGGATAAAGGCAGCAAAGTGGTAATTAGTCTTGGTATATTACTGTGGGTAAAAAGCAAGAAGCAGGTACTCTGTCCTGGGGAGACACGGATGTTGAGACAGATAATAAACATTATCGATAATGGAGGCAAAACAAAGAGAAATTGCAGGTTAAAGGGATCAGGTTTGCCTTTCAGCGGCTCCCCGAAGAGAATAGAGTTAGAGACCTTTGGGCAAAAATAAATATTCCCAGGGCATAGAGAAAAACCTTTATGCATGAGACTGGAAACTGGCCTACAGCATGATTTTAAAATGTCCCAGGGGGACAATTTAGGCAACAAGGGCAATTCAGATGAGTGGAAAGAAGAAAATAAGGGAAGGAGGGGGGCAGAGCTGAGAGGAGGAAGCAATGAGGATTCCCCAAAGACCAAGGTTTACAAACCGACAGTTGGGTGGCCAAAACCCAGCCAGTCAGAGTATTTAAAAATCATTTGAGCCAAGTTTGTTTTTTTTTTTTTTTTTGTTTTTTTTAAGTTAGGAGATGTCACCTCCCAAAATCTAGATTTCTGGCTTCTTTTGGAAAAAGAAAAAAAAATCAAAAAATTTGGCCACACTGGGTCTCCATACAGCCTTGAAGAAAATCTGCTAGGATGGAGGCTCCTGTCCAGATAATTTAAACTGGGGCCTGGGCTCTCCAGCCCCCCAAGACCCACAGCCCATTGCTCCACATCCCTCACCCTGAGAAGTATCCACACCTCCTGACTTCCTTTATTCTTTCCAGTGCTAGTCTGACCCTTATAGCTATTTAAAATGCTGAGTGCTGGGCGCCTGGGTGGCTCAGTCGTTAAGCGTCTGCCTTCGGCTCAGGTCAGGGTCCCAGGGTCCTGGGATCGAGCCCCGCATCGGGCTCCCCGCTCGGCGGGAAGCCTGCTTCTCCCCCTCCCACTCCCCCCGCTTGCGTTCCTGCTCTTGCTTTCTCTCTCTCTGTCAAATAAATAAATAAAATCTTTAAAAAAATAAAATGCTGGGTGCTGCCCACCCTGTCCTGATTTGCCAGTGCAACAGAGAGTGTGGGTACCAGCCGTGAATGTACCTCCTGGCTCCCTGACCCTGGGAGAGAGGGCTTTTTGAGTTGAGAATGAGGGCCCTGCGGCCCAGACCACGGACCAGGGAGCCCGACGCCAAATGGGCTGGTTTAAGGCATGAGTAAGTCTGAGCCTCAGGCTGGCTGGAACAGTCTCTAAGGAGAACATGGAACAGGCCACAGCTGAGCAAAAAGGTCAGCCCAGGGAGAGGAGATCCACAGTCAGCTCTGGAGGGTTCAGTGGGGCTGAGCTGGCAGCCGCGGTGGGGGACGCCGGATGCAGATGGCAGCGCAAGGAGAGCGTATGCCAGCATTGTTAAAGCCACGTTCCAGGATGCGTGCATGACTGGGATTCTGGGCATATATTCCAAACAAATTTAGAAGCTGCTCTTTGAAGATCATTTTAAGAAAGCCTAGAAAGCTGCCCATCTTGAACCCTCAGGGCCACTGGAATGGGGGTTAGAATCCTGGCGTTTCCACTTATTAGCTGTGTGACCTTGGGCACGTTATTTGACCTCTCTGAGCTTCAGTTCCCTCATCTAAAATATAGAGATATAAGAATATCTGTAATATCTAGAGCTGTGAAGATTAGAAATAATGTACATCAGATGCTAACACAGTGGCCAGGCACTTGGTTAACAAATTGATAGCTATTACTATTACCTAGTATTATTAGTTGGCTAAGTCTCGGAGGTGCCGACTATAGTTTGTCCACTTTTCTAGTTATGTATTTGCCTGAAGGCAAATTTGGCATGTGGGAAATTTTACCTCTATTATCCAGGAACACTGGTAAGGATTTTATTTTTTTTTCAAGATTTTACTTATTTATTTGACAGAGAGAGACAAAGCGAGAGAGGGAACACAAGCAGGGGGAGTGGGAGAGGGAGAAGCAGGCTCCCCGCTGAGCAGGGAGCCCGATGCGGGGCTCGATCCCAGGACCCTGGGATCATGACCTGAGCCAAAGGCAGACACTTAACAAACTGAGCCACCCAGGCGCCCCCTGGTAAGGATTTTAAAACAGGGTTCATGAGAAGTCAGAGATGAGATGCTAATGTGACAGGTAAAGTGGTGGGAATTGGGGTCTCACCCCCAGCTGTCTCCAACGCCAGGACAGGCTCCGTGAGTCCCTTAGCCTCTTTGGATTTTTGTTTCCTCATCCGTGGAAACCAGCTGGCTAGGTGTCAGTCCTCTAGAGCTGGGCTGCTCAACACAACGACACCCGCCACATGTAACTATTTAAATTGGAATTAATTAAAATTAAATAACATTAAAAATTCAACTCTTCGGTCCCATTGGTTCTATTTCAAGTGCTCAATCATCACATATGGCTGGTGCCGACTGGGTCAGACAGCATGAATAGAGAACATTTCCATCATCACACGAAGTGCTATCAGACAGGGCTGAACCCACAAGCTTGCTACCCAGTGTCGGGTCCTCAGATGAGCGGCATCAGCCACCCGGGAACTTGTCAGAAAGGCAGAGTCTCAGGGGCCACTCTAGACCTTTAGAAGCAAAATCTGCATTTTAACAAGGTTCCTTAGTGATGACAGACTCACGTTTAAGAAGCTCTGATCTGTAAGATTCGTGTTAGCTCTAAAAATAAAATTCAGGAATCTGGGTATCTGCTTGACAAAGTCATTGGGAAAGAAAAAGCAACCGGCTTGTCCAAATCCTGATTTGCCTCAAAGGAAAGAGTTGGGGCCATCTGCCGAGAAAGTTCAGCAGGACACTCGCACCTCTGCAGGAAAAGAGGAAGGAAATCAGCAGCCATCTGAAGGAGACCCGGAAAGTCAGTGCTGGGAAGGCGGTGAATCCGGCTCCTGTTGTTATGCCTCCCATCAACTTGGGGCATTCAGTCCTTGCCTGAAGACCTTCAGAGAAGGGAAGTTCTCAATTTTTTGTGGTAGAAAAAAAAAAAAAAGAAAAAGAAATGGGCGGCACTTTCTGGCTGGGTCGTCTTAAGGGGCTTGCGACAGCTCCCCTCTTCAAACCTCACCAGGAAGGAGCTCAGGCAGATCTTATATTCAAGTAGGGAAAATGAACATAGGCGTAGGGAGGGAAACATAAACTAAGAGGAAATCAGAGAGGGAGACAAACCACAAGAGACTCTTACCTTTAGGAAACACACTGAGGGTTGCTGGTGGGGAGGTGGGTCAGGGGAAGGGATAACTGGGTGATGGGCATTAAGGAGGGCACGTGATGGAATGAGCACTGGGTGTTATATGCAACTGATGATTCACTAAATTCTACCTCTGAGGGGAAAAAAAAGAAAATAAATAAATAAAATAGGAGAGAATGCATTCAGTCCTCTCATTGCAGAAAGTTTTGGTGTCTTTTGGTGACGTGCTGTTTTGAGTACAAAAACAAGGAGGATAATATTAGATCTGCTGCTCATTAAGAAAACATGTGCCTCTTATGGGAAAAAATTGCAGTCCTATATCTTATTTAATTGATACTAGTTTTTATTGCCCAATGTTACAGTTTTAATGTGTCCATAAATCTGTTTCTTACTTTCAGAGAAATATCTGTATTAAGAACACACTGTTCAAGAATGAAGGCAAAAGAAGGGAAATATGAATCCAAAATACACATTATTAATTTTTTAGGAAGCAAGCAAAATGGTGCTTCCATAAAGGATATTAGGGGGGAAAAACTAGCTGGGATTTCTGATCTACTTTAAAGAAAAATCTGCTGATTTGAGACACAGCTTTCCAGGGCCAACTATCTTGATGCAGGGGGAAAAATGAGCAGATAGAAATGGGTTTGTGATCTACAGGTCAGCTCTTAAGCGGTCACTGGCAGAAAGTGTAACGTGTTTCCAGCAGAGACATACTGAGCTGAGTGTCCTGTCACATACCCAGGAGTCAGGGAATCTGGCCACGGTGCAGGGGGGTGCGGGGAGCCGGCCCATGAGGCAGGGAGACCAGGTCTGGATTCCACTGCACCACAGACTGTCTGGGGGATTGCTGACAGATTTCAGTGAGCCCTCTGAGCCTCAGTTTCTGTGTGAAACGTAAAGGGCATTTAGGTTGGAGGGAGATGCTTTATGGAAAGTGAGCAGAATAGGCAGTGCATTTCTTTTAGTGTGGATCATTTAGTCAAATAATGGTTTGGGTCAAATCCAAAGCTGTGATGAAGAGAGCGAAGGGGGCCATGCCTGGGTGGGGAGGCAGCTCTTCTGACCCACTCGGATGCAGAGTAGCCTGCCCGTGGCCCACCTGCCCCACTGACTGATGCTGTCCTCCTGTCCGGGCCAGGAGGCAGCTCTGACCCAGGTTGGCAGTGCTGGGGAAGGTTTGGGAGCACAAGAGCCCTTCGGAGGTTTCCGGGGATCAGAATGGAGTAGGAATGGGGTCAGTGCATGGGAGTACTGCCAGCCTCTAAACCAACCTCAGAGCCTAAAAGGAGGCGAGTGTGCAGGAAAAAAGAACTTTGTCCTTTTGCGGGTCCCCATTCTAGTGGCGATTCCAATTTCCCTCCAGATAGAGTGAGAACATCCTCTAATGTGGGATTCTGAATTTCTGATAAGGCCGGTCCCACATGGTAATGACCCTCCTTCAACAGTTACTTTCTCTCCAGATCTCTTTTCTGTTCTGAGCCATCTCCCTTCACATGACAGGAGTTGCAAACCCTCTGCATTATTGCAGGAGAAACAACCGCAGGTTTGTTCCTCACCTGCCCACGTCCCCATCTCATTTCTGCCCTTCATTCATTCACCTCATTCAGCCCGAACACAAAAAGAATCATTTCTTCACCTTGAGTCACTCAGTGCATGCCTACTAGCCAATGCCTGGACCTCTCTCACACCCTGGGTGTAATCCACTGGCTCAAACCGTGTCCAGCTAATCCAGAAATCCAGCCCCAGCATATCTGATGTGAGGAGGGATGTATTTGATCGTGTTTAAAAACTGATCAATGTCTTCATTAAAATCCCATGCATATGGTATAGTGCTCATTAGCTGTTTTCCTGCTAATCAGGAGAGAAACATCTCAAATTGATTTTATGTGGCTCCAAATGAACCCAAGACTCTGAGTGCATCACAGACCTAAATATGCATGACTGACAGGGTGGTAGCAGCCCCATAGCACCTTTGTTGTAATTATGCCACATCTGGGAAAAAAGAAATGATGATTAACTCAGTGACAAAATATTCTTATTTTCCTTGCAAGATTCTCGGGGGAGAACTGCCCTGGGAAGGTGGGGGTGGGCTGGAGGGGTGTGGGTAGGATGCAATTGTCACAGAGCAGAGACACAATGGCTTCAGTCCAGCATTACATTTCAGTTTGGATGCCCTTGGTATGCTTTCTGGTCTGCAAAATTAGAGCACAAGAAAACAGATGACTATCAAAAATGATTTTACATAATGCAGTACATTGAAATTTAAACCTATCCATCAGCCGAGGGTTTATTGCAATTATTAAGGTCCATGATACAGTATTACTGCTTTTATCATTTAACAATCACTGCCTAATAAAGCAGCACAGAATTCAGTGGCTTAAAATAAATAAGCATTTATTACTACTAAAGTATCTGTGATCAGCTGGTGGGCTGGCTGGTGACCGGCTGGTCTGGGACGCCTCCTTCAGCTGTCTGGCAGTTGGCTGGCTATTGGATGGCTATTGGTTGGTGGGACTGACTGGCCGTGTGTCTTTGTCATCCAGCAGCCCATCTCGTGTGTTAGGCTGAATAATGTCCCCCCAGCCCCAAGATGCCCATGTCCTAATGCCCAAAACCTGTTTGTATGTTATTCTGCATAGTGTAGAGAGTCTACATATGGGATTAGTTAAGAACCTTGAGATGGGGAGATTATCCTGGATTATCAGGGTGGGCCCAATATAATCGCAGGTGTCCTTATAAAGGGAGGCAGGAAGATCAGAGTCATAGAAGATACAAGGATGGAAGCAGAGGTCCAAGAGAAAAAAAGGTGCAACATTGCTGGCTTTGGAGATGGAGGAAGAAGAGTCCATGAACCTCCAGAAATTGCAAAAAGTGAGGAAATGGATTCTCCCCTAGAGCCTCCAGGAGGAACACAACTCTCAGGACCCATTTTAGACTTCTGATCTCCAGAACTATAAGAGAATAAATAGGTGTTTCTATCAGCCACTAGGCTTGTGGCTGTTTGCAACAGCAGCAATGGGAGACTAATACACCGGACGTGTTAAAAAATTAGCAGGAGGGTGCCTAGAGAGAAGCAGGGGTGAATCACAGACTCAGGATTGGCACCCTGACATTCCTGCCACATTCTACTGGTCATAGACATCACAAAGCCACTCCGAAGTCAAGGGTTGGAGAAATAGACTCGCCTCTTGATGGATTCTTCTCTTTCTCTAACCTCTCAATGGGAGAAGCTGTGAAGTCACATTGGAAGGGGTGCGGAGATAAAGATAGGTAAAGAATTATGACTATTGTTGGCCACCAGTCTACCACCATGCCCTTTACAAAGTGACAGGGGACATTCAAAAGCAACATCTGACCCTGGTTTCTTTTTTATTTCCAGGGACGCAGGGAGCATGAGTGTCTGGACCTCGGGCACTGCTATCTTCCGAGGTCTTTGGGGGACATATGTGTCTCCCAGAAGCCCTGGCTGGATGGCCTTTATCCAACATTGGGGAGTTTGCTGTTTTGTGGCTTTCATTTCAGTGGGCCTCCTCTCTCTGGCCTTTTCCTGGTTTCTGTCCTCATTCATAGTCTTCACCACCTCCTGGGTGATCACCGGTGTGCTGCTCGGCGGCTCCAAGCATGCACGATGTTTCATTCTTCTCTTCTTCCTCTCTTGCGGCCTGCGGGAAGGCAGGAGCACCTTGATTGCAGCCGGCACAGGGATAGTAATCTTTGGACACGTGGAAAATATTTTTCACAACTTCAAAGGTCTCCTGGACGGTATGACTTGCAACCTAAGGGCAAAGAGCTTTTCCATACATTTTCCACTTTTGAAAAGATATATTGAAGCAATTCAGTGGATTTATGGCCTTGCCACTCACTTAAATCTATTTGATGACCTTATTTCTTGGAACCAGACTCTGGCGGTCTCGCTTTTCAGTCCCACTGAAGCCCTGGAGGCACAGCTAAATGACACCAAAGACCACGCCCTGGGTGTCTTGTACCAGATGGTGACAGCGACAGAGGTACTGTCTTCGCTGGGTCGGCAGGTACTTGCCCTAGTGGGGCTTCTGCTGGTGCTGCTTGGCACCGGGCTCTTCATGAAACGATTTTTGGACCCCTGCAGTTGGAAGTTTGAGAACATCTTCATTACCAAACAATTTGTTCGGTTCGACGAAATGGAGAGGCATCTACAGAGGCCCTGCGTCCTCCCGCTGAATAAGAAGGAAAGGAAGGACTATGTAGTCATCCCATCTTTCCGGTTGTCTCCGAAAGAGAGGAGAAACCTGGGGCTGTTTTTCCTCCCCATACTTACCCACCTCTACATCTGGGTGCTGTTTGCAGCCATCGATTACCTGCTGTATCGGCTCATTTTCTCAGTGAGCAAACATTTCCAAAGTTTGCCAGGGCTTGAGGTTCACTTGAAACTGCACAGAGAGGTAGGCACATGTCTAGCGGCGTGTCCTGGCTGTTCGCTGGGGTGTCTTAAGAAGGGCCACGAACCTCCCAGACCATGGCAGTGTCTTATTCACCCTTGGATCCCTGTGATGGCACAGTGCCTGGCATGTTGGCATTATTGGTGCCCAATAATTGTCGGTTAAGTTGAATAGAAGTCCTACTGTTAAGAGTCTGATTTCAACCTGAACATCCTTGGTCACTGTGTTAGTTTCTCGGGGTTGCTGTAACAAATGAACACAAACTGGGTGGTTCAAAACAACAAAAATGTATTCCCTTATAGTTCTGGGGGTAAAAAGTCCAAAATTATTATCAGTGGGCTGAAATCAAGTGTTGGCAGCACCACATTCACTTCGGACTCTAGGGGAGAATCCACTCTGGCTTCTTTCAGCTTCTGGTGGTTTGTCAGCTTTCCGTGGCTTGCGGCTGCAACCCTCCACCTTCATTTCTGCCTTTGCATCGTCTCCTCCTCCATGTATGTAAAATCTCTCTCTGCTTCTCTCTTAAAGGATGAATGTGATTGTGTTAGGGCTCACCACGATAATCAGGGTCACTTCTGCCAAGTCCCTTTTTTCCAAATAAAGTAACATTTATAGATTCTGGGCATTAGGATCATATACCATGGTGGGTGGGCATTTTTAGCTTTCTATAGTCAGCCATCACTTAAATGTGGGAATCGGTGTCTCTGATATGGAACATGAAGTTGGTTCTCAAGCAAGAGTACCTGGCATGAACCTGGGCTCCTTTTTCCTCTCTCTGTTGGACCTCTGCCAGTAGACTTTGAGCATCTTTTGTGAATGAGAACTTCTTTTCTTTGAATCTTCAGCCCTTACACAACACAGGAGGCCTCCCAACGCATCCACATAGCATTTAAGACGACGGTCACCGAAAAAAAAGGGGCTCCTAAATAACCGAATGTTACGGCTGGTGCTGGCATGTGGTAATACCCACTAAAGCAATGAAAACAGCTACCTTGTTTTTTTAGGTCAGTGGTTCTCAACCAAATGTGTTTCAGTTATTTCCTGGGATGGATACAGAGTCTCAGGCTTCAATTTACAGAGAATCTATTTTCAAAAGGAGAGTACCTTTATTTTTTTTATTTTTTTTAAAGATTTTATTTATTTATTTGAGAAGGAGAGAATGAGAGACAGAGAGCACAAGAGGGAAGAGGGTCAGAGGGAGAAGCAGACTCCCTGCCGAGCAGGGAGCCCGATGCGGGACTCGATCCAGGGACTCCAGGATCATGACCTGAGCCGAAGGCAGTCGCTTAACCAACTGAGCCACCCAGGCGCCCAGGAGAGTACCTTTAATAAGCACTCCATGTGACTTCAAAGTAGGTGGTCCATAGATCATACTTGGAAACACTTTGGCTCAGGCACCAACAATCTAGGACCTTCTAAACCAGTGGTTATCTACTGTGACTGCACAGTGTCATCACTGTGGACCTGAGCAAGCAAAAGAACACCCCAGAAATTGAATTCAAATGGATTGGGGTGAGGCTGGGGTAGGGGATTTTTAAAAACTCTCCAAATAATTCTGATGTGCGGCCAAGATTGAGAACCACTGGTCTAAACACCACCCAGAAGAATGGAGCCGAAGGCCATTGGTAGATCTATGACAATCTTAAGTAGTCAAGACGGTGTGTTTCTCTAAGCTGGTGCCCCCTGAGTCTCGGAGAATCTGCCTTTCTCTCCTTTGTTCTTTTTTTTTTTTTTTAAAGATTTTATTTATTTATTTGACAGAGAGAGACACAGCGAGAGAGGGAACACAAGCAGGGAGAGTGGGAGAGGGACAAGCAGGCTCTCCGCCAAGCAGGGAGACTGATGTGGGGCTCGATCCCAGGGACCCTGGGATCATGACCTGAGCTGAAGGCAGACGCTTAACGACTGAGCCACCGAGGAGCCCCTCTCTCCTTTGTTCTTACTCTTCTTAGCAGCTGTGTCCCCAGCCAAGAAGACCATGGTTTTTGTGCATCCCATTTTTTGCTTTTCCATTTTTCTCTGGGGAAAGTTTGTGATTATGCGGGCATTTCAGAGGATGTGGATATTGTCAGATATTGTCTTGATTTCTTTTAAACCCAGAGGTTGTGAAGCTGAACTAGGTGGGATGTGTGTGCGTGCAGGCCTGTGTGTTTGCATGGTGTGTGAGTGGGTGTGTGAGTGTTGTGCATGCTGGGGTGGAGTGCGCTAGCCTGGGCTGGTGAAAACACCAACAGCTGTCTGCACATGTCTGATTTTCCCTTGCTTTTGTCAGGCTACAGTAGGGGAACTCTTAGAAGGAAATGGCAGAAAGGGTGTCTGCAAGCCTTCCTTTGAAGTCCCACTTTCCATGGCTCTCTTTATCTCCCGGCCTGGGGTCCTCCTGTAGTGTTTACACTCTCTCTCCCTGCTTCTTCTGGCTCTGCAGGTAGCTGGGCTTCTAATTCTGGGCTGCTTCTCAGAGTTGATGACCCCCAGCAGGAGCACTCTGCTGCCTCGGAAGAATTCAGTGAATTACAAGATCCCTGGTGCTCTAGATATCTGGAGCAGGGTCATAACGGCAGCGGTGTTTCAAGTGAAAGCCAAACTGGACTTTCACACATGCTTGATCCCGGGGCTGGCAGGTAAAGGGGCCCCTCCCCTCCCCTCCCCCAGCGCATTCTCCTTTGTCTTTTTTCCTTGTTTGGTTCTTCCTCCCCTCCCTTCTCTTTTTCCTTCTCTCTCATTCATTTCTCCCACAGACAATATCCATGCCTGCTTTGTGAATTCTCACCATTTTAGACAGAAGGAGAGAAAAGCAAGTTCTGCCTTCCAAAAAAAAAAAGCCCAGAAGCTTTCCAATGACAATGTCCTGACAAATACATTTTGGGGTGTCAGGGGGGATGGGGGATGCAAGGATGTCTAAGCTGGGCAGGCTGCCGTGGAGGCTCACATCCTGGTGGGGGAGGCCACCATTCGTACAACGACAGCAGGGCGGTGGGCGCTGGGGCAGATGTGGGTATGAGACTGGAGACTGCCATGGGGGCTCCTCTCAAACTCTCTCCTGCCGCGCCTGGGAGACTGCAGTCGTCAGCAGCTGCCTCCGGGGACCCGCCGTGCCTGCCCTTATCCCAGGATGCCCTGGGAGGCTCCTGGTCCCTCCGTTGTCACAGGTTTGCAAAGGAGAGGCTCAGCAGGGAGAGAACCATCACCTCAAGGTTTTGCCAGTATTTCTCTCCCACCCTCATATGATTTTAAAGAAGTGTTTTAAGTAAAGAAGAAGGGAAATGACCCAAAGTGAGCTAGCTGGATGGGTGGACATCGTACGGGAAAATAGCCGGCGTTGTTACTTTTCCAGCCCCTACTTGTGCACAGCACTGGTCTGCATTAACTTTTCAGGACTGTCTGATACCAGAGCAGGTCCTCGGTCCATTCCTCAATGCTGTCTTTGCAAATTGTTTACTTAAGAGAGGCAAACACATTTTAAAACATCAGGGTACCATTTAGTATATTGCTCAGCGTTTTGAGAGAATCCATTACCCTCCGCCAACCTGGTAAAGGTTGACTCAATCTTTATGAAGCCCTGACTCCCAGTTGCAAAATCCCCAGATTCCTAGACTCAGTAACTTCTTCCCAGACCGGACACCCGCTGCTTTCTTATTGCAGGATTTCTCATCACTGACTCAATCAATGTGCTTGTTTTTTCAACAGTATTAAAAAGAGTGCATGCTTTTGCTCTGGGGACTGAAATCTCTCTCTTTAATTGTAGGCGAACTTTTTAATAAGAGAAAAGGAGAGGCAGTGCAAATGCTTTTCCTTGCTTAGGCATGGGGCCGGGGAAATTCCAGATGTGACTTGACCATTGTAGAGAGGTCCCAGATTTGAAGTGTCCAGAGTCTTCACAGGTACTGGGGTAGATCAAGGTGCACTCTGTTCTGTAGGTGTGGTTGTGTTCTTTTGGAGAAGTCATTTCCCTCTTCCTGGCCCCAGGGCTCTGGGGTACAGTGGTGATAATAACTTACTAAGGACTCCCGTCTGTAAGGTTAATGCTCCATCCCCAAGGTGCTTAATTTACATGGGGAGTAGTTTATTCATGGGCGGGATCTGGTCCATTAATTCCTGTTTTACCAAATCAGAAAACAAATCCACCGAGAGATGAAATGACTTTCTCAGGTCGGGGGAAACAAAGCACTGAATCAGCACACACTTCTCTTGCTGGTGGGTTGGCTGGGTAGTTCAATGTCATCCTTTGCCCTCTGTGTCAGTCAGCTGAGGGCAACTGGTCTGTACTCTTGTCTTCAAGCAGAAAGGAACACATTCCACCTGAGCATCCAGGAAAATTGAGAAAATGTCCTGTTTGAGACCTCTACAAATAGGATTTAAAGCCACCTTCAGCAAATACTATTTTTAGTATTCTTACACTAAGAGTAATTCCCCACCCCCAATGTCTAGAAGGTTGCTTTAGAACATAATATAATGCTTCCACATCTTTGTGACATTGTGGTCCGCTGTCAGGGTATTTGTCAAGATGGGGAGGATCTGACTGGGTCTATGTTCCAAAAATCTTCTCCTCCAGTTGAGCTAAAACCATCTTTCATCAGTCCCACATGTCCTATAGGGTGGAAGCAGGTGTTCCGTAAAACTGGGTGATGTGGTCACATTTGTCAGGAGAGCCACTAGCTGACGTTAACTGGATTTCTTTGTCTTCTCGAGACTTCAGCAGTCTCATGGGCATCCCGACTCTGCAAAGAAAGGACAGAGTAGACAAACTTACCTCATACCCTCTTTCAAGGAAATCTCTATTTCCACAAACCCACTTTGGAAAAACACTGCAATAGTTTCCAGTAAGACTCGGTCCTCCTCTTTACTCTGATCCTATCACACAGGAGGTGCTGTCTTAGCTGCTCCAGCCGGAGCTCCTGCACGTTGTAAGATAAATGCTTTGCATTGCAGGGCAGGATTGAGAAAGACCAGGACTGAGGACAACCATGGCATGAATCTTAAGGATTTTATTCTTTCATTCTAGGAGCAAGGAACTCAAGACATCATCCATGATTCTTCCTTTCACATATCTCTGTTCGAACCCACCTGCATCCCTGAACCAAAGCTCCTTCTGTCTAAGACCTGGATTCCTCTCAGCATCATTCTTGTGGTCCTAGTGGTGCTGGGCTTGCTGTCCTCCATCCTGACGCAACTCAAAATCCTGGTGTCGGCATCCTTCTACCCCAGCGTGCAGGCAGAGCGCGTCCGATACCTGCATGGGAAGCTACTGAAGAAAAGATCAAAGCAGGCAGTGGAAGGAGGAAGCAGTAAACAGCGTCTCTACTTCACAAAGGCAAGGCCAAGATGGGGGCATGACCTGTCATGAAGGAGATTTTGAGTTTGAAGGGCAAGTGGACTTTCAAAGCACTCTCCAGCTTCATGTTAGGGCTCACATCCCCAGGAACAGATGGGACACTGGGAGGAGAAAATGGAACAGATGTGCGTGGCTAAGGCTCTTAGCTTCTTGATGTTGGATGCTGGTCCAGATGATTCTACAAGCTGTTTTTTAAAACACTGATTTTAAGTGGGCACATTCAGCCATAAGGTAGAGAGACTGGTGGGAAGACCCTCTGCAGTGATTATTAATGGACAGGGCCCAATTAGTTATTTATCATGCCAAGGACACATAAATAACAGACGGAACTATCTACGACAGCTTGGTAAACTCTAAAGAATTTGTTCATTCTCTGGCATTAAAATATATGTCGTGTGTGTGTGTGTGTGTGTGTGTGTGTGTGTGTGTGTGTCTGTATGATTTTATATATATGACACATATGCATATTTATACATATATATGGTAACCTAATGACTTCCTACACATAAAATGAATGCTCATCAAAGACTTCATTTAACTAATTAACGAGGGAACAGTAAGAAATTCCAAGGGATTCAAACAACAGTTCAAAGCACACGCATATGTAAGCCATCAGGAACACCAAAATGAATGAGCTTACTAGATGCAAAACTGGCTTCTTCCCCAAGGTGGGTGGGAGGATTAATTGCACTCCACAGGGTGAAAGTCATTTTCACATCCATGGACAAAAATCATTTGCATTGCTGCTCCCAGCTCCCAACAACTTGCAGAGTTGGAAAATAGCTCATAAACAATGGAAGTCTGAGATAACCCCCAAGGATCAATTTCTGCCATTCTGAAGTGTTCTTTTGCATTTTTCCTGACGCCAGCCGTCGCACGATGAAAAGTTTATGTCAGAGGCACTCGAAATGGCTCTAATGCTCATTCATCTGTCTTTTTTGCCTCTTCAGATTCACTTCTGGCTTCCAGTCCTGAAAATGATCAGGAAGAAATGAACGGGCATTGCAGTTGAAGGCAATCCATGAGAAACCCCGAGGAGCTCCTCGGCCACACCGCTGCGGCCGTTCTTCTGGATTTCTGTGGACGCAGTTCCCCGTGCCTGCCCCACAGCAGAGAGCTGTGTTCTGTGCACCTGCTGCGGGGTGTTCGCAGCCCAAGCCACTTTTCTTCCTAAGGCCAAAGGGCTACCAGGTAAATGGCGTTGTCATCTGTCTTCCAAACAAGGTACATGATCCGGACTGTGTCACAATGTGGCAGAAAAGTATAAACCAGACCCCTGGAAGATGAGTCTCAGCATAGAATAATACTCAAGGAAAAAACAAAACAAAAAAAGACAGAACAAAAATTAGAAAAAATCAAAATCACCTCTAAAGGCTTATAGGCAAATGCCAAGGAGAACATACATTTAATGCCAGGAAAATATCTTTAAACTCTTCCGTCCCTTCTCTGCCCTTTGAAGTATCATTCATAGCTATTCCCTACCCCCAGCACTCTCTGCCCTCCCCCTGTCCTTACTCAAACACCAAAGACTTTCTCTGACACCCCTATCTAGCAGCTCTTAATTTCACTTCACCGCCACCGCCACCGCCACCTCGGCTTTGACCCTCCTCTTTCCTGGAGCACTTTTGGCTTTATGTCTTCTATCAAATCCTCTATCAGGTATTTAGACCACATGTATCCAAACCACAGGAAATGCTTGTTAAAAGGACCATCTTGGGCTGCTATTTACAACGCTCAATGTAGACTACATTGTATAGGGGCCCTATTTCCCCTAAACTCCAAATACCCAAAAGGGAGAAAAACCTCCTCAAATATTGATTCCATTATCTCAAAAGCCCCTGAATAAGAAAGAAATAATCATTAAATTTTTCTAATATTTTAACTTTTCATTTTGAAAACTTTTCAGACTTACAAAAAAATTGCAAAATAGTACAGAGTTCCATTTACCCTTCATCCATCATTCCCAAGAACCATCGCACAATTATCGAAACCAGGGAAACAACCTTGAAAAAATGCATCATTTACAGAGCTTACCGAATTTTTGTCAGTTGTCCCACTAATACCCCCTTTCTGGTCCCTGAGTCAGTCCAGGCTCCCACATCACATTTAGTTTCTTAGTCTCCTCCCATCAGGGACAGTTCTTCAGTCTTTCCTTTTCTTTTATGACCTTGACACTTTAGAAAAGTGCTGGCCAGTAATCTTATAAAATGTCTTTGACTGGGGTTTGCCTGATGTTTCCTTGTGTAATTCCTCCGGATAATGTATTTTTGGCAAGAATACTACAGAAGCCATGATGTGGTCATCTCGGTGTCCCCTTGTACCAGGGGGCATGTGGTGTGGACGTGTCTCATTACTGGTTAGGTTACCTTTCATCATTTAGTTAGGATGGGGACTGCCAGAGTTTTCCAAGGTAAAGTTACTGTTTTTCCCTTTGTAATTACTAGGTGTATTGTGGGGAAATATTCAGGCGATGCAAACATCCTGTTTCTCATCATCCATTATTAGCATCTGTCGATGCAGAACCAGGGTGTGGCCAAAGAGTGATTTTCTATTTACATAATATCATCTCCATTTTTCATTGGATCTACACTATCCCCAGAAAGAAACATTGTTCCAAAGACTGAACTTTGTTTCAGGCCCCAGAGTGGGCATTTTACATACATGATCTCCTTTAGGTTTCACAACAATTCTGTGAGGTAGGTATTATTTCCGTTTGATAGATGGGAAACCCTCACTCAGCGGGCTGGGGGTAGGGCCTTGGTGATGGCTTGTCTAAAGCTCCCAGGTGATTTTAATGGGCAGCCAGGACTGAGAACCACCAGTCCAGAAAGTTTTACAGGATTGTCTTTCAATTCAGGTTCAACTGTGAAATTTCTCTAACAGAAGTAGCCTCCATTAAAAGCCTGTCTGATTCAGCATTTCCCAAAGTGTGTTCCTCAGACCACACCAGTCTCTTAGCTGTCCCATAAAAAAAAGAAAAAAAAACTTTACATAAGTTAGTAAATCCATACCATCTGCCTTCTAACTTTGAAGATTCATAAAGCATGTTGGCACAATTCAAAAACTTGAGAAACCCTATAATAAAGAAATCTCTTTAAGACTTATTTTGCTTATAAATTATTAAACCCTGGAATAATTTTACCTGCAATAACGATTAGCATCACCTAGGGCCAGTTCTGCAGTCCATACTCAGGCAAATGCTGATGGAGTTGGCATGACTTCCCACCAAAAAAGGATTTGAGAAGATGAAGATGCATTTGCAGTTTTGGTTTATTTAAATCGAATCATTCTCATGATTTCATACCTTGTTGTGTTTTCTAAATAAACAAATGTATATATTAATACATGGATCCAAAGTATGAATGTTTGTATTCATTTTGCATTTATTCCTCCTACAGAGAAGGGATCTGTTCCATATTAACAAAGGCAAAGAATGAACTGCCAAATTTTTAGAAGGAATTGGATGCTTTTGTGCTTCTAAATTCTGTTAATTAACTAACTTACTAATCTACCTAACAGCATCACCAATGACTAGAATAAACTTTTGGGACAGGCCATGTAGAAGGTACTGGTGATGCCCAGACAGTTCACCTTGGTCCCTGCCTTTGGGATGCTTTCATTCTAGTCAGGAAGACAGACACATGCTTAGACAATAAATAACAATTTACACTAGGTTTTGGAAAGTGTCAAGGGCACAGGGCAGGGGTTGCCTGTAGGGCGCAGGGGCCAGGTTCTCTGCCCTGGCCTACTACGATTGTCTAGTTTACCCCTGTTCTTTATGAGAAGGGCATTAGAGAGATTAGTCCATTGGTTTTAATTCCCTTGAAACCAAAATTACTTTCTGAAGTAGCATAATCTCTGTTGTTTCCAGTGTACTGTGACTTTGAACAGTTCACAAAGCTCCTGGAGAGTGTCCTGCTGTCCCTGTTAGGCATGTTTGCCCTGACTTTGAAGTGCTTGTCCCTATTGGAAGGACAGGCTGACAAAGAGGGAGTGGCATAAAATGCAATTTGATCCTGAAAACAAGATTTAGACTTGCTCATTAAGGCCAGTCTAACTGGGATATAAAATGCTTATTTAATTACAGCTTATCCACTTTAGATTTAAAAACGAACAGTTGGTTAAATTTCTTGAGACATCTATTGTGAAATGTGCCCTGTTGATCTCGTGGAGGTGGAAAGATACCACTCAAAGTAATTTAACGGCACTTCCTTTTTCACCTCTAATTTTAATGGCTTATAAAAGATATTGCATTATTGCAGTCTAAGTCACTATTTCTCATCTCACGAACCCCAGCTTGGTGCCACACTCGTTCCGGTCTTTCAAGTGTCATTCTGACGTCCTCATTGGCTTCGCATCTGTTGTTGGTTGTGTCTCTCTGACGGTGAGATACACTAATTCTGAACACCTTCGCAGTAATAGATCTCGTTTATTGTTCTACTTGGCATGTTCAACATCATCTTTCCTCTTTCGATTCGCTCTCTGTTGCTTTCTTGATGAGGACTTCATCAATCCCAGTTATAATATGGGATATCCTGAAGTCTTCACACACCATGTATTTTTGTCTTAATTCACCTAAGAGAGATAAATAAATGTATCTCATCCCTCTGAACGTAAGAACTAGCTTTCTCACCCAAAGTCAGTCATAGTGAAAAGACCATTAAGGTCAATTATTTTAGTTAACTTATACTATGGAAGAAAGAGGAACTGGTTAAAAAAATGAATATGGGCTGAACATTGGTTCTATATTCATATATATTTAAAAGCCTGTTTTCCCCCCCACAACAGCGGGGAGGAAAGATTTAAATTAATAGGTGGCTGAGACCAACAAACTTTCAGGGTTAAAGTCTTCTTTGGTTTTAATCTCTCATGGTTGCAGTAACATTTTTAAAAGCAGGAAAGGAAAGATGAATAACAGGGTACAGGGGATACGAGTCTTTTATCAGCTAAATTCTGGGTGTCTATGAACCTTACTATTATAATCAGAAAACAGAATAAATCAGAGTTGTATTTGTCATTTGAGGAATTTCATGCAAATGCAAATGGAAAGTGAAAAAGACAATGATAGAAATCAAAGTATAACCAGCCAAATCACTGCAATGAGGGCGCAAAGTGTTTGCACTACTTTCCTGGATACTGTGGAAACACACAGTGTGGTGTGTAAGGTGCCCCCGCCCCAAGCCTCATTCAGCAAAGATGAGGAACAATGTACCCACTGCCCACAGCATGGGGCTCAGGAAGAGGGTGGGCTTAGAGGACACACAGGAGGACCAGGAAGGACTGTGACAAAGATACAGACGTCCATCCCCTCAGGACCCAGAGCAGGGTTCCCAAAGCTGGCTGATCATCAGAGTTGCCTCCAGAGGCTAAAGAAAAAAAGTAAACTTACAGATTCCCAAACCTAAATTCAGATCCACTGACTGGGGAGATGGGGGAGGGTCCCGGAAGTCTGTATTCTGTGGGACTTCATGAGATGGAGCAGGGGTTCAGATGATTAGGGAAATTTGGGAACGACAGCTTTAGAGGACTGGAGCAAGCTTTGGAAAGGATGGGTTGCTGATTAAATAAAAACACATCTACGATGTGATTAGCTGGGTGGACATACACATAGAACTTCCATTCTACCCTTTGCTGAAGGAGCTATTAATCCACCAAGATTTTTCAATAATGCAAAATGCAAATTGTCAAAAAAAAGTACATTGTTTTCACCTTCTGCAGCCCAACTCCCCATCCAAACAAAAACAGAACTGATGATGGTATCATAAAATTAAATAATCATAATGATGAGGGAACAGAAGGCAAGCTGAGAACAAAGCAGAAGCTGACACCCTACAAGCCCCCCCCCCCACCATGGGATCTGTGTGACATTCCTCAGGCACTCCTGGCTGTCCTAAAGGAAAAACAAATAGTTAACTGATAGAGATCACAGTCTTGCAGGACAGGAGTCTCCTTCAGTTTACAAAAGTCTAAAGCAATTTATGAGGACAAAGCATTTCTATCAATGGCCTAGCTTCCAGAAGGGAATGTAGATACAATTAAATGCCCTTATAACCTGCAGCCCAACAACAGATACTTGAGGTGGGCAGAGTGTAATGTTTCTCCAGGAAGATCCCAACTACCTTAATGTTAATGCCTTACTAGAGGGGTGATCAACCTTAACCTGACAATGGCAAGGCCTCCAGCATCCTGTGAGTCTTCTTGAGCATATGAAAGTTCTTTCAGAAACCTCCCTTTTTCCTCACCTCCCCCAAACCCATAGTATATAATCAGCCACCCCTCACAACCCCGGGGCGGGAGCTCTTTCTGCCCACAGGTCCTGTCCCCGGGGCTTTAATAAACCACCATTTCTGCACCAAAGACGTCTCAAGAGTTTTTTCCTAGTCGTCGGCTCTGGACTCCACCCCACTGAACCTCACCTATATTCTAAAGCTTCATCAATAACTAGTAGTTAACTATCAAACATAGTTTGGTACCCATACTATTTTTTAATTAAACTATCCCAACTTAGGGGATGGTATATCACATTTTTTTGAAAAATGAAAGTAACCTCAACTATGACAGTCCCATGATACACTAGAGAGAACGGATTTTTAGAATGGGGAAGGCTGGATTCAAATCCTACTTCTGCTAAGCATTAGTGGCGTCAACTTAAGCGACTTAGCTCTTACCTCTCTGAGCCTCAGTGTTCTTATTTCTGAAATGGGGCTTAAAATAGGAATCAATAGCATCTTTTGAGAATTAAATGAAATGACCATATAAAGTCTCGCAAAAATAGATAAATAAATGTTTATCGTCTTGCTCCTTTCCATTTGCTCCCTGCTCAATCTCACTTTTTTCAACTTTTGACAATAAAGTCTGATACAAAAAGAGTAAAACAAACAAACGAACAACAACAAAAAAGAGTCTCAACCAGGCTTGGTACACACTAGGGATCGGCGACCTTTTTTTGTGAAGGGACAGACAGTAAATAGGTCAGGCTTTGCAGCCACAGAGTCTCTGTTGCAAACCCTCTCATCTCTGCTGGGGTAGTGAGAAAGCAACGCGTGGACAAAACGTGAATGCATGGTTATGACTGTGTTTCAATAAAGCTTTATTTGCAAAACCAAGAGTCAAGCTGGATCTGTCTGCCTGATAATGCAGGAAGACTTTTTTAGAAATGCATAGGTTGATGCCGGACATGATGCAATGGGGACTCAAAGTCAGAAAACCCAAATGGGGTCAAAATCCCTTTTACCATCCACTAGCTAGATGACTTCGCAAAATTCACTTCACCTTTCTGAGCTGAATTTTCTCATCTGTAAAGATGAAGGAGCTGGGCTACAGAATCTCTGACGAAGTCACCATCCCTTGTCTCTTGATTCTTTGAGAGACCACAGTCTCCTAGAGAGAATCATCAATACACTGTCACCCGAATTTCAGCATTTGTTTGTTCTTTCATTGTTGATCAGTGAATCATAAAGAGCAACAGAAGCTCTCAGGTCATAAGTATGATTCATTTGATGAAAAAGGGAAAAGATAGCATTTGGTCAAAATAAATGGTGTTTTCTCCACAGACAAAAAGAAACAATCAGAACAGTTATTAAATTTAAATGTCATACATAATTTCACACGGTTTCAAGTCAGACTAAGATGTCAGTAGCTGAAGACCAGAAAATTGAAAGCCTTGTTTTTTCAAAGCGAGCAGTGCACTCACTCTAACTGTGATATATTAATTAGGGAGTGAAAGAAATCGATCAAAACTATCTTTCCAAAAGGAAACCATGTGGAGGTATGTTTGCACTAAATAAGGGTGCTGTGTCTTGCAAATGCAAATGCTAATACAAGAAAATAAATAAGACATCATTTTTTAAAAATATTTTATTTATTTATTTATTTATTTGAGAGACAGAATGAGATAGAGAGAGTACATGAGAGGGGGGAGGGCCAGAGGGAGAAGCAGACTCCCTGCCGAGCAGGGAGCCCGATGCGGGACTCGATCCCGGGACTCCAGGATCATGACCTGAGCCGAAGGCAGTCGCTGAACCAACTGAGCCACCCAGGCGCCCAATAAGACATCATTTTAAAACAGGATGCCATCAAAGAAAAAGAGTGTTGAATTAGAAGTCAGAACTGACTTCTAATTCTGTCTCTACTGCTAACTAGATTTAGCCAGGGTGCTTCCTTCTCTTGACACAACTCAGTCCTTCATAGAAAACATCCTAATAGCTAGGATTGACTGAACCCTTAGTAGGTACCAGACACTGTTTTTGGTGTGTTATTCCCATTCATCCTCACCAAAATCTCATAAGGAAGTCCTGATGCTATTGCTGTTGTACAGCTGAAGAAACTGAAGCACAGAGAGGCTAAGTAACTTGGTTCTGGAAGCAGGATTTGAACATAGCTACTCTCGACTATGCTGCCTCCCAAAGCGAGACTTTCCTGTGTCCTTTCCCAGCTTAGAGATCCAGATCCACACGTACTGTGAGTTCATACCCCCCGCACCGGGCATTCAAGCTCCCTCCCATCTGATCCGAGCCCCCACCATATTTCTCATTCTCCCTCTGCCTGAGCCCTTCCTTTATTAAAAAGCTCTGTTTGCCCGGCCTCCTGAAAGAGTCGCCTGCATTCCCCTTCAGCGCTGTGCTCTCTCCCCAGCCCCCTCCCTGCTTTCTCCTGCCTTCCAGGCCCTACCCGGACCCGTGAATGGGACCGTGTCCCGGCTGAGTCACAAACCCTGTGTGGGAACTGGGAAACGCCCTTTAAACTCTCCTGGCCTCAGTTTCTTGATCACTTGAGGGTTGGACTCCATTTCGCTTTTTCAAACTTGTGAATTCTTTTCTTTGAAGCGGTAGACCCTTTCCCCTAGTTCACTTTCTAGATCACCAACTCCCCGTCCGGCAGACACAGGTACCCTGCTCCTCACAGGGGAGGCTGAAGCCTGAAGCCACTCTCTGTCCTCTCGTCCACCGTGGCGGTCTGGGAGGCACCTGAGCGATGTGCAGACCGGAGCAGGAAGACACAGGGGTGGCTCTAGTCATGCAGGCCCAGACCTCCACTAGTTTGCCGCACATTGGCCGGGTCATCCTCTATCATTTACTTACACGTTCTTTAAACCAACTCAGCATTATTACTTAAATAAGTTCATTCAAAAGAAGGAAGCTTTATAACATCATTACAAATGGAAAAACAGTGTCACCTTCCATAAATATAAAGTAGCATACACGCACACACACATCATATATACAGTATTTGTTATATAGGCAGATTATGCACAGATACGTTATACACAGTTATGTACATTTTATATATATTACACAGATACACATGCACTGAAAACAAAACAACATTATTACAGCATTAGTCTAGTGAGGTATTTGCCTGCCAAAGCCAACAGCCTACTTACTCTGTGTGAAACAGCTCACAGAACCCATGCTAGGGGTTATCCCACCGAGGGGCGAGGGACTGGGGTACTTGTACACCAACTCCCGCCACCTGCTGGTTGGGGTTGCTTCTGCTTTTGGGTGGTTTTCATTCCTCTCTCTGGCTTTCCTCGGTTATGGAAAAAAGCCCCCAGTCAAAGGGATGCGGAGCCCGGCAGCTGGGGGTCAGCTGGAGCGCACAGAAGTGCTGGTGGGGGGTGGGGAGGGCCCACAGCACCTGCAGCAGCTCCATCTCAGTAAAATGGGAAGGAGCTGCCTTCCACAGTCACCCGGGTCTCTGCCGACACCAAAGCCTTGTCATTGACATGATGTCATTCTTGCCTATAAACCACTGACAACTCTTGGCTCTCATTCCTGAGTCCGGTCCTCCAACAAAATGCCGATTCCTGGGGCAGGGGTATTTACCCAACTAGAAAATAATTTTGCTGAAACATCATTCTGCATGTTACCTACTGAAAAACAGTTGTCACTATGGAGTACAAACCAATCACAGGATCATTAACTCAGCGTAAATAAATGAATAATTTCCTTTGAATGTCTGCATCATCCAACCGTGAAGTCCTAGACAACGTCTAGGCCCAGAACTCCCCGCTCTCAACTCAGAACCCTATTTAGAAGAATGCCCTGTGTGCAGTAGTCTTTACAGGTTTTTTTTCCCCTTCTCAAATGTTCTTTAGCCTGTGTAGATGGCATTTATGCAATTCAGAGAAAGGCACCGCAACAGGATTAGTCAGCAACACGCCCTCTGACGCAGCTTCTGTGATCTAGTTAAAAATAGGAAAGAGGATGTTTTGCATAAGTCATCACCGTTGTGCAGGATCAGAGAACTGTCCACTTTTTTTGGTTTCCACATCCTGTCACTTTACCTAAAAATAGATGAAAACTGTCCCTGGGATTTTTGGACAAGACATTTGCTTCTGTGATATAGGCTCCCTGGTCCTTCTTCTTTTTTTTTTTTTAAGATTTTATTTGTTTATCTGACAGAGAGAGAGACAGCGAGAGAGGGAACGCAAGCAGGGGGAGTGGGAGAGGGAGAAGCAGGCTTCCCGCCGAGCAGGGAGCCGGGTGCGGGGCTCGATCCCAGGACCCCGGGATCATGACCTGAGCTGGAGGCAGACGCTTAACGACTGAGCCGCCCAGGCGCCCCGGCTCCCTGGTCCCTACTTGTCTGCAGGTTCCTTTGCTGGCTTCCCTTCACCTTCTGCCATTTCCAATTCTGCGGGTCAGCCTCGGGCTCAGGACCTCTGCCGTTCTTCCCCGCTCCCCGGGGATAAACTGCAGGGCCCGCGGGGGCCAGGCCGGGGACATCAGCTGTGAAGCCAGCCGGGCGGGCAGGGTAAACCAGCCTGGGCCTGGCCCACCCGAAAGGAAGGAACTCTTCCTCAGTTTCTCACAGACCAACTGACTTTTCCCAGAGCGCCCAGAAACCCAGAGTTTTTTTATAGGAACATACCTAATCTGTAAATGTTAGAAATGAATTTAAATATTAATTTTTAAAAAATAGAGTAAAGGTGGAACCATGAGTTTGCAGTCTGTAACCTCTATTCCATACATTCTCCTTCATGTGTTGCCAGCTATAAAGTGGGGGATCTACAAAATCTACGTCCACAGGTCTAAATCCTCCCACTCTCTCCAGTTCTTCTCTCTCATTTGGACTAGGAGAGGAGTCCTGGATTCTGATTTTGGCTCCACCCTTTGCTAGCCATGGAACTTTGGTGGATAGCTTCCTCTCCCCAGGCCCCAGCTGCCTCGTCTGTAGAATGTGGCCCTTGGAGTCAATGACTTTGAGGGCCCTGCCAAGCTCTACCAGCCTGTGAGTCCGAGAGACCCTCCTCTTCATCACCTCTTTCTTGCCTTTCTTGATCCCAAAATATCAATTTCCGACCACAGTCAGTGACCCAAACGTTTTCCAGGTTTTCTCAGCTTAGGAGTCAGTTTTATTTGTAACTCTGCTTCTAGGCAACATCCAACCAGTTCTATTGCTGCAACACTCCTTAAATTTCCCTTTTGACCAGGAATGACCTGCTACCATCGTTTTCCTACCAAACCATGAGATTTGCTTCCATCCCTCCTTGAGCTTCTCCATTACCCCCAGCTCTAGAACTCTTCCTCCAAAGACAAAACAAAAAAAATAATTTTAAGAGCATTTTTTTTCAGAAACCTTCCTTGGCGCCTGGGTGGCTCAGTCGTTAAGCGTCTGCCTTCAGCTCAGGTCATGATCCCGGGGTCCTGGGATCGAGTCCCGCATCGGGCTCTCCACTCCGCGGGAAGCCTGCTTCCCCCTCTCCCACGCCCCCTGCTTGTGTTCCCTCTCTCCCTGTCTCTCTCTCTGTCAAATAAATAAATAAAATCTCAAATTAAAAAAAAAGAAATTTTCCTTGGAAGAAAATTTACAATGGCTGTTTATAATCTGCATTACTTATCACATCCAGCCTTCAAGTTGCCTTACTGCCCTTGTAGGCTAATGAGTCCACTCAGGCAACCATATTTAATTCATTAGCTGGGCGTGAGGGGAGGGTCCAGTGGTGTGTAGCACGGTCAAGGGTGGTTCACAGGTAGCCTCTCATTGGAGTATCAGGCATTCATACTCCAGTAGGAGGTATAAATATTTAGGTAGTATCTCAAATAAAAGTGTCTAAAGCATTGTGGGTAATAATGTTACCAATGTCAGGGGAGGAAGAAATCTCTGTAATTGTTTCTCACATCCAAAAGTAAAGAAAGTATTCTCATCCCAGAAACAAACTGGGCACGTTTCCATTTATCCTTAGGGGAGTGGAACACTGGAGGCAGGACAAAATTTGAGAGTTTCAAACCTCTCACTTCTACCTGGGTTTCCAGTTGGTGAATGAACTATTTCCTAGGGCTGCTATAACAAATTATTACAAACTGAGTGCCTTAAAACAACAGAAATTTACACTCTCACAGATAAAAGCTGAATAACGTCTTGAAGGAAGAATCCTTCCTTGTCTCTCCGACCTTCTGGCTGGTTGCTGGCAATCCTTTGCTTTCCTCTGCTTATGGCAGCATAACTCCGATTTCTCCTGTCTTCACACTGACAGTTTTCCTTCTGTGACTAATATTCTCTCTTATGATAAGAACAGCAGTCCTTGGGCTGAGGCCCACCATAATCCGGTATGATCTTATTTTAATGTGATTATATCTTCAGAGACTCTTATTTCCAAAGAAGGTCACATTTAGGGAACTAAGCATTAGGACTAGAACATATTTTTGAAGGGGACACTGTTAACTCAGGACAGGAAAGACTCTCCCTACCACAATGCCCCACATACAGTATATAGAACCACCTCTTCAGAAAGTATTTTTCACAAATTGGTCACAGCACAACTTCACTGTTAGGATGAATTTGCATACCCTCTGCTGCCCTTTGTCTCTACATGCAGGCGTGGGAAGAGCAGGAGCAATCAACACTGGATTTTCGATGCCACAGAGAAAAGGTTTTCTAAGGAATTTGGGATTATACCTTAGCCACCATGAACGGCCCGCTGTGTGGAGGCTCCCTGAGCTTTGAGGAAAGGACGTGGATGGAAGACCTCAGCAATACACTGAGTTGAGCCATGAGAGGCCATATAAGTGGGAGATACCAAATGTGGGAACCAATTTGGCGCTTTATGAGAAGGCAAGGAATGGTGGTGAAGGGCCCCCAGTGAGGAACAGGACTAGCTGCTGGGCCAAGGACAAGCCAGCCTATCCATGCTGGCTGCAAGTGGTGATTGCGGGGCAGACCGTTCTGCCAGGGGACGTGAAAATCCGCATCGAAAAGAAAAGATAAAGGCATCCTGAACTGGCATTAGTGGGCGCCATCTGAGTGCTTCCTAAGTCTTACAAGTTTACAGCTGAGAAAGAGACGATGGTCAAGGCACTCTCTGTGAGTGGAGCAAGATGGAGTCTAAGAATGGGTCGGATAGATCCTTCTTCATTAAATTGCTGAAAACCATGTCAGGAGCCTTAAAAACAGAAATGGATGGGTCTCATAAAAATGACACGGTAAAATAAAATTAAATGTGCACCGCGACTCTTGTTCCTCTATTTTCTTGAGTTAGTGTTCACATTCCCCAGTATTGAGGGTGAGACAGCTGGCGATAAGATCCGGGGACAGGGACCAGCAGGGGGGAGTCCCCAGATGTAGGTGAAAATCTGACAGCCAGACATTTATTTGGGGAGCCAAATACTTCTCCCGGAGCCTCTTTCCAGGGCTGGCATACACTATGTATGGAGGAAACAGTTTTGAAGAGTCAATGACAAGGAAACATTTTTTGGCAAGGAAGTTGTGGAGAAATTTTATATTTCTAGTTGAAAAAAGAAGTCATGCCATAATGTGTTTCAGTGCATTTTTTTAAAAAGATTTTATTTATTTATTCATGAGAGACAGAGTGAGAGAGAGAGAGAGAGGCAGAGGGAGAAGCAGTCTCCCAAGGAGCAGGGATCCCGATGCGGGACTCGATCCCAGGACCCTGGGATCATGACCTGAGCCGAAGGCAGATGCTTAACCATCTGAGCCACCCGGGTGCCCGTTTCAGTGCATTTTTAAAGTTAATTCTGAGAAGACAATGTTCCCTTAATGAAAGACATTCTGGATCAGGACAGGACATAAACACTGCTGGGAACTGAATAAGGTACAGCAATGGCTGGGAACTGGAGACAGGCTGGGTGTGGCATAATGAAGAGGCAAGTTGCCATGGAAACAAGCCACTGAGTGGACGGCAACCATCTTGAATGCGTACAACTTACAAAGAGAAGGGAAGGAGACTGGAGGCATGCCGGCTGGCCAAGCGTTCTCAGGAGGGACAGCGAGGGTAGTCTTGGCATTAGCTATATGGCATGAGAAAGAAAGCCAAAGGCTGTCAAAAGCCACCCAAAGGGGGGATAAAAATTCCAAGTTTGATGGGTATCTTGAATTTGGCCTTATTCATTTGCCATTCATCTGTTGGCTCATTCCAACCAATACTGACTGACTGCCTTCTGCCGGCCGGGCACCGGGCTAGGCATTGAGACTACCGAGAGGACTGAGCTGTCCCGACTCTCAAGGATGCTGCTGTCCCTCAGCACTTTCTGGAGGACCAAGACCTACACACAATTCTCTTGTCTCTCTCCTAGGAATCAAGCCCCGCATAACTCTGCAGCTCTGGTCCCACTCCAGGGCGCCTGCCAGGCTTCCATCCTGCCCAGTGGCCTCCTGGTCCCCTTGCCCAGGACTCCAGCTCCTTCAGAGCTGGTCTTCTAGGCGTCCACTGGATCCCCGTGGCAGGTCCGTACATCTGCTGTCAGCCTCCTCTGCCCAGACATCCTTTGCTCATTCTGACCTCCTCCCACGGCCTCTGGATGGGCTTTCTCAGAACCCGCCTGGACGGTCCAACTCATTTTACCTACTGGACCTCTCGGCCCTGAGTGTCTTCTCCACAGATCCTTGGCACAGTCATCAGCCTGGCGCCGCGTATTTATTCCTAGCTCTGGCTTTTGCATGTGACCCTCAGTGTGGGTGGTTCAGTGACTCACGGAATCATAAGCTCACATCATAAGCTGTTACCCCAACCTCATATCCCCGGCATGTCAGAGAACAAAACCTTCAGCTTCCTCCAGTGGGACCCAGCAACATGTCCTCCTCTGGTAGCGCTGCTAAGCTTTCCGTTCAGTTTCTCCATTTCCTGGCACCATCGCCCCAAAAGTGCCCTTCTATGACTGCTGTGATCTCACCAATCTATTTGTAAATCTCCACGGCCTTTACAACCTCTCTGCGTCTGAATCATTTCTGACCACAAATCAACTTTCCAGAGTGACTGGCTTTTTGGAGGTGGCCACTGATATTACAATCATATTCTACTCATCACATGCATATCGTTTCATTGTTCACAAACTTCATTTCAGGAGGTTCTTCTGACAATGCAGGAAAGTAGGCACGGCAGGCATTATTATCATTTGCATTTCATGGATCTAGAAATTGAGGTTCAGAGAAGTTCTGCAACTTTCCGCAGGCCACACACGGATGAGGGCTGAAAGCCGGCTCCTCGCTCCAAGCCCTGGCTCCGGAGCCCCGGGTCATGTGTCCTTCGCTGCAGGAGGCACTGCCCTTTGGACCTCTGAGTCTTTGCCCACACCATGCCTCACTGTTACTCTAAGGGTGCTTCCTTCTTTGTGTTAAGCCAGGGTCCTCCAAAGAATCTGAATAAACAGAAACAGCGACTTGCGCCTTCATTCCCCTTTTCCCTTTAGATTATTGGGTGGCATAATTGTAGATGCTAGGATCCTACCACCAAGATTCAGCAAGCTCCATTTTTCCTTTGTCACCTACAAAAAAGGAGAAAGCCCAAACCAAACCAAAACCTACAACAAGAAAACCCTTTTCTCAGGAACTCTTGAAATGCCAGCACTTGGTGCATAGCATCCATGCTCGCTCGGGGGAAGCCTAGTGATGCTCAGGAACGTTTTTATCACGAGCTCCCCCAGGGCTGCCTCGACATCTCCCTAATGTGCTGTAGGGCTCGCTGTCTCTCAGCGGACCTGTGCAGAGCAGTAAATATTGATTGGGGTGGGGGTGGGGATGGGGGGGGTGGCGTGTTCTTGTAGAAAGCAAGCAAGCCGTCTTGTTACTAGAATTCCCAAGACAAGAGAATTATATACATCGAGATTGGCCGTAAGGTGTAAAGCAACGCAGGGTATTGTAAGCCACTTAGGGAAAAGAACGCAGAACCGGGCGGGGCGGAGGGGAGTGAGCGGCGGAGCCGAAGAGTAAATGAGACCCGAGCCGGCCGCCTGCAGTGCGGGGAGTCTGGAAAGCTGGGGAGCCCGGAGCGCGGAGCGGCGGGGTCGCCCAGCCCGCCGGCCCGCGCTCCACCAGCCGCTCAGGGCCGCCCCCCGCTCCCTCCCCGGGCCCGGCGCGAGCGCGGCGGTGTGGGAGGCGGCGCCGTCCCGTTGGCTTTCCTGCAGCTGCTGCCCGGGGCCTGCGTGACTCAGGGAAACGGCGCTGCCTGGGGAATTTGCAGTCGCTCTCCTCAGTCGATGGCTCACTCCCTTCCAGCCCCGCGCCGGCTGCTGGGTGTGCACCGACTCGGCTGAACCTCACAGCACACTCCCCACGGTGCTGCTGCCTCCATTTACCCAGGAGGAAACTGAGGCGCAGACCGGTGAAGTCTCTGGTCCATGATCTTCCCGCTGGTGAACGCTGGTTATCTGACTCCCAAACCTGTGCCCTTCACCTACTCTTAAAAATGCGCTCTGACCGGGCGTCTGATAGAGTTCAACGATTTCAGATTTTATCTCGTGTTTTGCCTCGTGTGTGACAAGCCTATGACACAGACGGGATGAATGCTGTCGTCCGTTGACACTGAAGCCCAGAGAGGCTGAGTGATTGACTCCAAGCCACATGGCTAGAAAGGGGCAGAAGAGGGCTAAGAACACAGGCCGTTGGACCCTGATCTCAGGAACCTGTTCAGAGCAAATGGAACCCTGTGGTCATGTCTCATGACCGTGAGCAAGGTCACATGGAGCTTCCAACCCACAGGCTTTCAGCCTGGAGAGTGGGCGGAGTGTAGACCACCGGAGAGACAATGAGGTTGGAGCAAGGGGCATACAACGCCTGGCACAGAGAGCCCATCCAGAAGTGCTTGTTGAATTAACAAATGAATTTATCGGGAAGAATGCTCCTTACAATTTTGGCATAACAAAACTGTTAACATAACCGGCTCTGGTTTTAATAGTGTTTGCACAGTGACTGTTGCTGATTCCTAATCTCCGACCATTTCATTGTCTCAGCTCATCTGCAAGGATTTGTTTTTTTACCTCTGGGGAGACGGCTGAGGGTGTTGTGGCTGAGCTCCTTAAAGTGTGTCATTGTCATTAGGAAACCTGCTCTGCCACTCCCCTCTCCATCTTTCCCAACTTTACAACCACCGAAACTCCCAAATCCCTTATTTACATTCATCAATTCAATTTAAAATGGTTATGTGTGCCTATTTTCTTTTTAGTGTTATATTGTGATAAAATACATAACAACATAAAACTGACCATTGTAACCATTTTAAAGTGTACAATTTAGTGGCTTTTTGTACATTCATAAGGTTGGGCAACCAACACAACTTTCTAATTTCAGAACATTTTTATCATCCCCTCCGCCCCCAGAAATCCCATACCCATTAAGCCATCTTCTGAAAGGGTGAGTTTGAGCAAACAAAATCACCAGTTACACACTCCTGTTAGGCACATGGTAGGGGCAGTCACAAGAGTGTAACTGATGGTTTTGTTTCAGAGGCTCTCTCAAGGCAAGGACTCTGATGGGGACAGTGCTATGGGATAGTAGAACTCCAAACTCTTCCAGAATATTTATGGCTGAGGGTTGTCAGAATTGTATGCTCTATGCCTTAGAAACTCAGAGAGCAGACAAGTCAAGAATTGCCAAGGGGCTTGGAATGACGTAGCCACAGGGGGCACTTACGATCGATTATTGCCCCCACTCCTCCCCCTACCACACACAC